CCTTCAGCTGGGTGTGGTGGCTCACACCTGTAATCCCAGCACTTTGGGAGGCTGAGGAGGGCAGATCACCTGAGGTCGGGAGTTTGAGACCAGTCTGACCAACATGAAGAAACGCCATCCCTACTAAAAAATACAAAATTAGCCAGTGTGGTGATGCACACCTATAACCCCAGCTACTCAGGAGGCTGAGGCAGGAGAATCACTTGAGCCCTGGGGGCAGAGGTTGCAGTGAGCTGAGATTATGCCATTGCACTCCAGCCTGGGCAACAAGAGCAAAACTCCATCTCAAATAATAATAAAAATAATATAATAATAATAAAGCCTTCTTCTCTGGCAACACTTGTCTCAATGACTGGCTTTCTGCGAGGCAAGCAATGGGATGTAGACTGAAACCCTGGTGTTCAGTAACAAAGTTTGGTTCCCTGACCAGGAACGCCTTGCTTGTGGTTAGCTGCCACAGGCTGGGAGAGTTTCAGAAGCCCCCCTAACCTGCTGCCTGGCTATATTTTGCATTCCTGATTGTATAGAAAGATTTCAAAAGTTGATATGTGCATCTAGACAAGTGAGTGGCTTTTGTGGGTACCAGACAGCAAGATTGGCTCCTCTCAATTTGGGAGCTGAAGAATTTCCATTTGCGGGTTGAACAAGCCCAACTGATGGAGAGAGGAAAGCATCCTGATTGTTTCAGTTTGGAAACTCTTGGGGCTTGCTGGCTGTTGCAACGGTTGAATTGTATTTTAGTGAGTGAGTGTGTGTGTCAAGGCAGTCATGCCAGAGTGCAGCCCGCTTGGTGCACTCTTCAGGGCTGGTCTGAATGTAGTTGTGAGCTGATGGAGCCAGGGAACGTCTACAGCCACAGCATCCTGAATGTGCCTGATTTCATCTGATCTCGTTAGTACATGATGTTCTTCTGCAGTGCTGTTTGGTCCCAGTGTTCTCTGGAGTCAGGAGCATGGACTGCCAAAAAAACCAAGCTGCCATAGAAACTGCTTTACCCAAAATTTTGGTTCACAGCATTGATTGTATTACATGTCAGGGCAAACAAAGTTTAGCCATGTGAATGTGTTCATAAACCAGTGAAACTGTATTGCTACCTCATGGATAAAATTCCGATGTAAAAGCTATTGGATCTTGCCAGGTGTGGTGGCTCATCCCTATAATCCCAGCACTTTGGGAGGCCAAGGCAGCCAGATTGCTTGAGCCCAAGAGTTCCAAACCAGCCTGGGCAACATGCCAAAACCCCGTCTCCACAAAAAATTTTCAAATTAGCTGGGCATGATGGCGCACACCTGTGGCCCCAGCCACTCAGGAGGCTGAGGTGGGTGGATCAATTGAGTGCAGGAGGTCGAGGCTGCAGTGAGCTGTAATCGTGCCACTGCACTCCAGCCTGGGCAACAGAGTGAGACATTGCCTCAAAACACAAAACAAATATCAAGAAAAGCTATTGGATCTCTGTGTGTGTGTGTGTGTGTGTGTGTGTGCATGTTTTGACGTATTTACACATATATTGTATCCACCAAACTGGCTTATAAATACAAGAATGCTCATAAATAACTCCAAGTTTTTCAAGTCCATGTGACCTAAATAAATCTTTAACAAACAAATTGGCACTACGATTATTGGTAAAATAAAAATAGAAATGGCTTTGGGATTGTCAGCATACACTTTTGATTGATTGGGTTTTATATTTGCCTCTGTTAGATATTTTGAGGTGTCAAGGTTTAGCACAGAAGATTATAAAACTATAATATACCCAGCCAAAACAAAATGATCTTTGTGTGAATTTTTTTCAGCCTTGGCCCTCAGAATGAGAGCAGACCTGAACCCTCCCCCACCCACAGCTTGCAGCCCAGCTCAATTGAATCCAACTGACCCACAGATCCTGGAGCAAGAATAAAGAGCTGGCGTTTTAAAGCACTGAGATTTGGGGAGGTTTGTTACACAGTGTTACTTCAGCAATCGCTAACTAATACTGAGTGTTTATGGGACTTGTGAAGCATAGTTACGCTTTATGGGGTGTAAAAGAGATGTGTATGTGTACAGTACTTGTGCTTTGTGCCTAAGCAAATGGGATGTGGTGATGTACACAGAAAAACAAGGGTTTATAAAAGATAAAAGCAAACAAAGGAGCAAGCAAACCTATCCCTGAGTGAGCTGTACGCAGTTTGTAAAAAGACCCAGGTCAGAAGTTTCCTGTGCAGGAAAACCCACATTCTATAGCCCTGCCTCTCTCTGACTTGCCAGTGGTTTCTAGGAAGGTGGCGTTAGCCAGACGGAGGGTATTTGACTTGACTGGCATTCAGCAAACCAGGGAAGAGGTGGCATGAGCCCAGCAGAGTCATGTTTGCTCACACAATCAACCTGTGTGTGCCTTGGCTGCAGAGACTTGTCCCCACAGCAGGGCTTGGCAGCTGAGGAAGAGTCCCACACTACAACCCTGGAAGGTGAACAGAGGGCCTCTGTGTGGAGCAGAAAGCAGCTGTGAGAATATCAGCTGGACTGGGGCTTTGCAAGGAGCAGTGCCTCAGAGATCAAGGCCCCAGGACATCCCTGCAAGCATCCCCTTTTCCTGCCCTTGTTCATGGCCAACTGAATCATGCTGTGATTCAGTGAGCTCTAGAGTCAGACCATCCAGGCTGCTTCTCAGCCCACCAGCTGCCACCTTGGGCAAGTAAACAAATTTCTCTGGGCCTCAATTTCTCAACTTTAAAATAGGATTAAGTGTAGTATCTCACTCATAGATTGCCATCAAGACTGGGTGAGTTAATTTCTGTAAAGTGGGATGGTACCTGGTTACTGCTGAATGTGTGTCATCCACCAGGCACTGTACTAAGTACATTACATAAAGGACCTTGCATCCAGAAACCATGCATGATCAGTATTATTATCTGACAAAGGTCCCAGAGGACAGACCAGAATTCAACGGAAAACAGTTTACTTGTGAGCTAACTCCAAAAATCATGAGAGGGGAAGAGAGACAGCAATTACCACTGTGGATAACTGGGCTCCAATCCTGCTAGATTAACTGAGAAGTGTGTAGAATATGCATACAGGGCATCTGTACACCTACTCTCCTCAGTCACGGCTGGAGGCTGCTCCTGGAGGCAGCATAACCAACCTTCCTTGTTTCCCCATGACTGTTCCAGCTTCAGCACTGAAAAGTCCTAGGATCTGGGAAACCCCTCCTTCCCAACCTGCATGGCTGGTCACGTTACTTGGAGGGTACTCATTCCCCAGCACTTCCAGTGCAGCAAGCAGAGCAAGCCTGTAGATGCAGGTGCCAGCAACCAGGAGCTACCATGCACTAAATGGTCAGGCTCAAGGGGATGTGGTTGGGATGCACAACCCCATTTTGGTGTGAGAAAAGTAGAGCTGAGAGAGGCTAGGTAACCTGCCCAGGGTTACACAGTGTGAAGTGGCCTGGGGGCGGGGGACGGGGGGTAGTCTGATGCCAAGGCCCATGCTCTTGACCATCAGGATCCATAACTCCGCCTTCCACAAAGCAGCCATAGGGACATAGATTGGAAGACCTGGGAGGATGACAGGAGATCAGCTAGTCCCATGACTGGAAACAAAGTTATCTGCAGGTAGACTGGGGTAACATTCAAGAGGCCTGGAGGACAGTAGGTGAGTGTCGGACAATAAAGAGGTAGTGTCTGTGGCCAAAAGGAGAGTATGGCAGCCTCCAAAGGGGGCAGCAGATGCTCAGCTCAGGCCGTGTCCTGCTGTATGGGAATGAAGGACCCGTATTACTAAACCATCCAATTTTTCAAGGGAAGCTGGACTTTTATGGTAAATCTCTGAAGTATTACATATTATCTAAGAATTTTCTAAAATACATTATAAACCCAACCCCACGTGGATGAAACACAGGTTATTGGATATTGATCCCCTCACCTCTACAGGTAACCCTAAGGGCTGACATTGAGGACCCTTTTTTTCAACGGGGTCTCTATAGAAATGGGGGCTAGTTCCATGTGCATTTGGTGCACACATCCGCCCTCACTGAGCTTTATCCATTTTTTCTCGTCTTTGTTTCTGTCTGGCCATGTTTCCATGCATGTGTATCCATGACTGACATCCAGCTCATGTGCACCAGAACAGCCACACTGGTTTTTAACAGGCCAGTTAGTAAGTAGCAGGTGCCTGTAGGCCCCCGGTCAGCCCGTGTACCCTGACAGTCCGGCCCTTTCCCTGGGATTCCCACACTACCCCTCTCCGACAACTCCAGGGTTAACTCCGGGTAGGTCAGGGACCTCAGCTAGCGCAGATCCTTCTCTTTCTTCAGCGCCCGAGCTCCTCCCTTTCGCTCTTTCTCTCCCATTCTCTCTGTCGCTATCTCCATCTCTGTCTCATAAAAATTATACAACCATCTTGAATCCTTGTTGATTCAAAGATGTAAAGTTTTAAACAGTGGTGTGCTGGTAAATGTTCAACAATCAGCTCTCCAGGAGTAGAGGGGTGTCCTGATTTGTAGCATTTGCTGCTTTCCATGGTGTAAATAGATATTCACACCCTGACAGATTTCCAGCTACCAACATGCCCAAAGGTGGAGCTGTCAGGAGATGTGCAGTGGCACACCATTGGCTGCCATTTATTATATAGACATGAAGGACATAAATAACTGCAGAAGCACAGATGATAGTAAAAAAATAGTAAAAATAATAGAAAATAATGCATTCTGAGTAGTTATTACCTTCGTTTCTAATATAATTTATTGTTTTTACAACTTAAATTTTTGATAATGCCTGTGTTTCACAACTAGGTCATAAATTTCCTGAAAATTTTAGCCGTCAGCTCTTGTGAGCAGATGAGCTGGCTCTAGTAACCACTGGATAAATAAACAGAGGCAGGAAAATTACAAAAACAGGTGGTTGGTGGTGAAAAAACCAGGACTCAGGGGAGAGTCGACATCCAACCTCAGGTGGCCAGTTCAGGCCTCTCCACCCAGAACCCCCTACCTCCGCAGCTCTCTACCCCTGCTGCCTAACCCCACCTACCTGCAACAGGAAGTCGAAGAGCGCCAGGCGTGCCCACTCCGTATGGTGGATGCCCAGGCATGAGGCCTGGCCTGGCCAGCTGCAACCGTGTGCCAGCAGGGCCTGGTACTGCAGCCAGCCCAAGGCCAGAGAGTTCTGATCCTCATCCGGGTCACCCAGGTGCTGCACATCGGGTGCCCACCAGATGACAGGCCTTGTGCCACCATCCGTGTAACGGTAGGGCAGGAGGGGACTGTGGAAGCGGCGGGCCACAGCAGGCAGGCTCCTGCGCAGCCCCAGCACACGATCTACATGGAAGGACAGGACCTCAGGCAGGTCCCCAGGCCTCTTGATCAGGCCACAGAGCCCTTGGGAGCAGAGTTGGCTGAGCCTGGGAGGGGACATGTCCTGAAGGGCACCCTCAGCAGAGAAGCCAACCTGTAGCACCTGCCCATGGGCAGGAACCCTGGCTTTGCCCACCACCTCCCCCTGAGCCAACAGTCGGAGCATCTGCACATCATGGTCTGTCAGCCATGGGGGAATCTGCCCACCGGTCCTCGAGCTGCTCAACAGCCCAGGGGTCTCAGCGCCACACCATACTGACCCTTGTAGCTCCCCAACAGAGCCAGGCCACTGATGAGTCCCTGAGGCCATGGTGGGATCCTCTGCTTGTCGCCCACCAGTCAAGGCTCTGTTCTCAGTTCCCATCAGATCCCTGCCTGCCGCTCTATGGGGCCAGAGTGTCAGCCCAGAAGTAGTTCTCCAAGCCGGTGAAGCTGCCACATCACTCCCTGGGAGTGGACCAACCAGGGTGACCATTTCACTCTGCGTGTCCTGGGTAGAAGTGCCATGCCGGGGGTGGCCCAGGTCTTTGGCTCCTGGATCTCCGACCTCATCCTCCCTCAGGAGCACAAAATGCTGAGTACTGAGTCTTGGATGTCCTGTCAAAGTAATGTCCCTCCTGACCCTTCCTGGATGCCTGAGGTCCCCTCTTGGGGACTCTGTGCTTCTGTGCACTCTTGTTCTGTGGCCTTGCTCCTCAGCACAGACCAAGATGGAGTTCCTAGGCAAAGCACGACCTCTCCAGAAGCCCATGTTTCTTGCCCACTGCCTCTGGCTAGAGCTCAAAGCCTGCCAGATATGGGTTGCAGGGGCGCCAGTTACCCCCTGAGGCTCCATGGGTCCAGGGTCCGGGCCGGCGGCTGGACGCTGTGGGTGAAAGTGGGTGACAGCCATTGCAGATAGAGTCATCAAGAGGCAGAATGCCATCACTGGCCGCCTCTTGCCACGCAGCCTTTTCCAGAGACAAGATGCCTGGGGGAGGGTAGAAAAAAGTTTGAGACCTAGAAAGACATCAGCTCAACCCACAAAACAATAAGGATGATAAGCAAAGGAGACTCCCAGTTCATGAGAGACTGAGAAGAGCACAGCTCAGGTGGAGGGACAGCTGGCTGCCTTCAAGAAAGGAAATGGACAACTCCAGCCAACTGCACTCCTGCTTCCAAGGCTGGCTGGCTTTTCCTTGCAGGGCAGGCTCTGCTGAGGCCTGCAGACCCATGCTCTTCTGCCCTATTCTCCCTTTGGATAAACTGCCATTACAACACTGTCACCAGGCACCATAAGGGGCTTTTCTCACATCTGTCCCCATCACCAAGAGCTGGCCTTCTCTTTTCATCTCCATGTGATCCCGTGGGCCCGTTCTGGCAGATCTCTTGGTGTCCCCACACACATGCCCTTACCCTTTTCCAGGGCACATTGCCACCCAGTTACAGATGACTTTGCCAACCCCCTCAGCAACAGGCTGTGACCACATGACCAAGTTCCTGATTATGGCATAAGAGGCAACAACTTTTGCCAGCCCCACATGCTTAAAAGGAGTTTGAGCACCCTGGCCTTTCTCTCTCGCCCTCCCTGCAAGTTGCACACAGATACGGCAGCAATAGCTCTACACGTGTTAGGAAGGACACACCCTCGGGGAAGTGATTTCTCAACACGTGGTCCTTGGACCAGCAGCATCAGTATCACCTGGGGACTTGTCAGAAATGCAAATTCTTGGGGACCCACCCCAGAATTACTGAATCAGAAACAGGGCTGGGCAGCCTGTGTTTTAAGAAGTTCTCTGGGTAATTCTGATGCCGGCTCGAGCTTGAGAGCCACTGCTCTAGGGCTTCATGAGCCACAAGTGGGAAGGAGCATGGTGTCTGGAGCAGTGCAAACCACTGCAGTTGGGAGTCTCTGCACCTGTGAGCCTTTATGTGACAGACCTACAGGCAGAGCCCTGGTACATGATGGGAATCAACAGATATGTGCCTGACAAAATGAATGGAAAATCTAGTCCAAATCACAAAAACGCTCCCCAAATTAGTTTGCTTATTAAATCCACCAGATATTCCTTAGAGATATTTGATGCTATATGCAGTGTGGGGCAATTTGCTGGAATGCACAGAAAAGGCACACAGGTAAACAGAATTTTAAAGTTGTCAAAGAAACAATGCCCACAAAACAAACCAGATTCCACTTTTTTCCCCTGCATGTGCTTGCTCTTCTGAAAAGCTCCCCGGTGAGTGTTAAAAGGGGATTATCTGGGATCTGCATTGGACATGAGGGTGAAGTCCATCATCAATAGCCCCCTGCTTTCTCTCAAAAGTGCCACCTCTATCCCCCACAATCCACCCCAGCCATATCTGTCCAGGAACCCCAACCTATGACCTAAGCTGATGGGGCCGTCCTGGACCCTGACCCATGTTGGGCCAACAGAGCCTCACCCCCAACCCCATGCCTGGGAGCATGGGCTTGTGATAAATCAGCAAGGCTGACTTGTCCTGCTCATGAAATAGAGAGCAGGGCCCCACTGCCACCCAGCCAAAGATGATATCAGTGGGCCATACTCTGTTGAGAGCCTGCAAGGAGAGAGAAGGAAACAGTCGCACAGACAAACCAGAGATGAAAACAGGAAGGAGTGCCTTCTCCAGCTTCCTGCACTGCATGCAGTTCCAGTTCTGAGCCTGGCCCAGGAACAGCAGCAGCCACTGTCTGGGGCTCCTTGGAGCTGAGCAGTATCCACATACCTATTCTCCCTCTACGTTTAGCTGTGGATCATGGGTGCCCCTGCTACATGCAGCCAAAAAGGCCTAATTAGGATCATCTCTGAGTTCCCTTCCCTCTGCAATTAAAAGAGTCTTTGCTGACAGGGCACAGTGGCTCATGCCTGTAATCCCAGCACTTTGGGAGGCTGAGGTAGGTGGATCACTTGAGGTCAGGATTTCGAGACCAGCCTGGCCAACAAGGCAAAAGCATGTCTCTATTAAAAATACAAAAATTAGCCAGGCATGGTGGTGCATGCCTATAATCCTTGCTACTTCAGAGAATCACTTGACCCTGGCAGGAGACCCAGGAAGCAGAGGTTGCAGTAAGCCAAAATTGCACCATTACACTACAGCCTGGGGGACAGTAGCAAAATTCCATCTCAAAAAAAAAAAAGCCTTTCCTCCCCTCCTTCAGTACCCAGCTGACCTTCTCCTTCCTTCCAACCATGTGGCCTGGAGGAATGCTGCCCTCGTGAATTTCCTAATTTATCCATGTTTTCATTCCCTTCTAAGCCAGTGACAGTTTCTGCAGGAACCGAACACATTTGTCAGCACCATGAACATCATAAAATAATCAAAAGGAAGTGGGAAAACTCAGTTACAGCCCAGCTATTAAAAGTGCCCATGGCTGCCTCCTACCTCTAGTTCCTCCACACTGGTTCTCTCCCTGTTCTACCCTTTTCTGCCTTCTGGACATGAGGCCAGCATCTCCCTCTTAAGTGCCTCCATGAATGGTGCACTGATATCTCTTGGCCCCACTTTTGCCAAGCACCTCAGCCTCAGGAAGCCAGAGTGTGGTGGTGGAAGGAGCACTGGACAGGGGTCAGCAGGCTGAAGTCTGCGAGGACACATGACCCCACTCTCTGGACCAGCTTCCTCATCTACAAGGGGTTGGGTTGGATGAAATAGCCTTTGAGGCCTCACTTTCCCCAATACCCAGTGATTCTAGCTCTTGGTGGACAGTGGAGGTGGACTCAGCTGTCCCACTTTGAATAGCTTATGGGATGGAACAGTGGGCTCCCCTGAACCTCCTTCTGCCCATGACAGGCACCTGTAGCAGAGCAAAGCTGCAGAAGAGGACCCACATGCCACCATTGCCCAGTAAGAGGATATGGGCCCTTAAGGGTGGCTTTCAGAGAAGAGGGTTGAAATGAGGGTTTTCTGCCACTGCCCAGTCACCACGAGGAGACCCAATCAACCACCTTGGCCTGAACAGTGAGACCATAATAACCAAAGCCTCCCTTGCAGCTCTGAGCTGATTCCCCAAGACCCAGTGGGACACACCAACACAGGGTGACTCAGGGCCAACGGACACCTTCGATCCACCTGAAGCTGCTGCTGGAGGGACCACTTATGCTAACCTTCCCTCCCCCATACCTGGAGGGGAGGAGATAGTAGAGAAAATCCCCTTGGCCTCTGGCACTTACATGCTAAAACATCTTCCCACTCACCTGACACCCCAGGCATTCATGCTTCTGTGAAGAAGCCATCAGGTGAGCCTATGTCCCAGGGCCACAAATCCCCTGCTTCAACACCCTGATTAAGGTGGGGACCAGCAAACTAATTAAACAGTGGGGAAAACAGATGAGGGCAGGCTTCTGATAACTCCCCACCTCCAACTTCAGCAGGGCCTCCAGGACCACAGGGCAAGGAGACAAAGCCTAGAGAATATTTTCCTTGTCAGTTGTGTGGTCCTCTAGACAACCTGTGCTCCCCAAACCTGGATTGCATCTGTAATCTCTTGCCTGATTACCAGAGATGGGATGGAACAATGGTTCTTAAACTTGCTCTGGGGTTCCTTCACATTCTACCATGGGGTAGGGGGTTAGGAGATGACTCTGTATGCTCTGCACTTGCCACTCTCGCTCCACACAACCACACGCACACACACTTCCACCAAGACAGCTCTGTGTCCTTTCATTTGGTGGGTTTAGCTTATTTACATTACTTGATATACTATGCATGTTTAGCCTTAGTTCTGTCATAATATTTTATGGTATACTTTCTGTATTGCAAACCCAAAATAAGCCCCCTGACCATCTGAATGGACCCCTGCTTTCAGCTAAGGGCATTCCAAAGTTAACCCGAAAAACTGGTTTAGGCCATGATGGGAAGAGGAAGCCAGACAAGCCTCATTATGCCCTCCTCCCTTTTTGAAATGTAGGCCCAGATGACCAGCACTGACATCAACACATACCTTAAGACTGATAGAACTGCCTCTTTATGTCTGATAAGAAGCATTTACAATCAGTTCCCTGAAGCCAGCTACCTAGAGGCTCCAACTACATGATAAAACCTTGGTCTCCACAAGCTCTTATCTTAACCCAGACATTCCTTTCTATTGATCCTAAGTCTTTAGACAATAACTTAGCTCTTTCAACCAATTGCCAATCAGAAAATCTTTGAATCTACCTATGACCTAGGAGCCCCTGCTTCCAGTTGCCCTTCCTTTCTGGACCCAACGAATGTACATCTTAAATGTATTGATTGATGTCTTATGTCTCCCTAAAATGTACAAAACCAAATTGTAGTCTGATAACCTGTTCTTGGGATCTCCTGAGGGCTGTGTCACTGGCCATTGGTCACTCATATATGGCTCAGAATATATCTCTTCAAATATTTTACAGCTTGATCTTTTCATCAACAATATTTATAATATTTGAAGTCTTGTACTATGTTTTCTTTTCACTTACTTTTACTTGTCTTTTGCTATATATTTCTTATAATATTTAAGAAATTTTGATTTGGGTCCTAATGATTGTATGCCCTTAGTTGACTGGTTCTTTAGACTGTAACTCTTAATCCCATAAAAAGAACAACATTAAAATTATTTTCTCTTCCCCCTCCTCCCCCTCCCTTTCCTCTACCATTCAGTTTTCATCATCTTTTTAATGTTTGTCTTTGTACGATTAAATATGTTTACATTTCTATTTCTCGGCTTTAAATAATATTCCTTAGTTGCCTGCTGTTATTAATGAAGTAAACAACATGTTAATTCTTTCCTCCACCTTTTGCCTTCATCCCCCTTCCAATTGTTTATATTTGTGTCATTTCTGCATTGGTACAATAGCAAACATATACATTCAATTCCCTCACTCTAATAGACACATTGTTCAAGCCTTAGTTATTCAGATAAATATATTCTATGCACAGACCTGTCCCCTTAGCCACAGTTTCCCATTATTTCTTGGTTGACCGAAGTTCACATGGGAACAATATTCTCTGATTTCTTGCATGTTCAAACTGTTTTCTACAGGATTCATACGTGAAGTAAAGTTGCTTAGACATAAAACATTTGGCTCACAGTTTCTTTGAATAGTTTATGGGTTCTGCTCCACTGTTTCATAACATTAAGGGAAATCTAAGATTAAACTGATTTTTGACCCTGCCTGGATGCCCTAAGAATTCTTTCTTTTTCTTTCACATCCAGTAACATTCCCAGGATCTATCAGTGTTGACTGTTTCAGGCCAGCTTTTCTTGGCATGCAGTGTGCCCTGTTAGAAAAGGTAGACACAAGTCTTTTTATTTCATCAGAATTTTCTTGAACTAATTATTAAATATTTGTTCCATTCCATGACTTTATTTCTACTTTCTTCTTTAGGCTCTTCATTATGTATATGTTGGTTCTCCTTTATCTGCCTTATACCTTCTCTTTAATCCTATTTTCATTTCTTTTTGTTCACTGTTCTTGTTTTTATACTCTATTTGACTTACTGTGTTTTATTTACTTACTCACCATTTCTGTTAGTTTCTACTTTTCCTTACTTCTTTTCAGCTCATATTTCATGTCTTTCAATCTTCCCATTTTTTCTTGAATTCTTGCATTTCTGCTTTGCGGTATTTCTTCACAGAGGGTATATTAAGTTTTAAAAATTCATTGTGATAAGATTGCTCAAAATTCCACTGTTTCCAGGTAATATTTTCAGGTGATCAGCCCTCATCTGTTAAGAAATATTGCTGTTCTTTGTCTCCCTTTTTATCACAGTGTCTCTGGATAGATGCTGGGTTCTTTTCATTGTATGAGTTGGAGCAGTCAATTGAAAGAGGTTCCTGTAGAACCCAGTGGAATTTGAAATCAGCTGGTTTCATAATGCAGATACTCTCTTCTTCTGATCTACCCCATGGTCAGGCCGCATCCTGCAAATACAGCTTGTTAGCATGGCTCTTTATGTATCACAGTGTCCTCTGCTTTTCTAATCCCAATAGTCCAGCTGAATCCTCTGAGCCATTAAACTTGCCCCCATCCCATTTCCACACCCTCTTTTCGCAGACAAGGGGTAGGGGGATGATGATTCTGCTCCTCAGGTGTGTCACTCACCTTCAGGTATATTTCACTGGTGCTTTCTGAAATCTGCCAACTTCGGCTCCCTCTTCTACTCTTTCTTACTTCTTCCAACTTCTTTCCTACTTACTGCTCCTGTATGAAACTGGCTGCTTCTTACACTGTTCCCAAATATTTTGGTGACTGCCTCCTAATCTAGCTGAAAAGGAATTTGCATTTTGTCTTCCATTTTCTTTGCTGCTTTCTGCTGGTTTCCAGGACAAGGTGAGGATGCAGAGTTTATGCTGCCATGTTTACACCAGCAGTCCTCAATGGCACATTTTTAAGAAGAAAGAAGCATGCCCTTACCAAATGCAGTGACTAACCAGCCCTCGGAGCAACCGCCTTTTTCCAACTTCTGTGCTCAGGAGCCACAGCACCCTAGCAGCCCTGAGAATTCCAAGAATTTTGCTCCCTCTACACATTTGCACAAGATCTATTCACCAGCTTTGTGTGAATTGATGCAGCCTGCAGGCTGATCACTTAGCAGCATCCCTCTGGAAAGACTACCCTTGAAGCCCTTTGGAGTGACATGGACCAGGCAGTAAGGTGATCCACCTATCCCAGTTAGACTTCTAAGAGTCAAGGAGAGAGGGAGGGACCACAAGGCACCTGCCAGTTCTCCACTTTATAATTTATTCACCTTCTCATCCCCTCCCTTATACATTCCCCTCCTTCTGTTCCAATTTGGTTAAAAGGTAGCACTGTCCACCCAGATACCCAAGCCAGAAATCTGGGTCTGACCTTCATTCCACCTTTCCTCTGCCTCATACATCTAAGTCTTGCAAATTTTTCCTCCTAAACATCTCTTGAATCAGTCCATTTCTCATTAGACCCTCTGTGACTGAGCCCAGGCACCCTCTTCTTTATCAGGACACCTGCAATAGCCCCCTTTGCTCCCACTCCTGCTCCTCTGCAGGCCACTTGCCACAAACTGGCTTTAAAGAGACTTCAAAGTCTCTTTAGAGAACAGCTAAATGCCAGAAGTGCTCTAGCCATGCTAAACTTCTTTCAGTTCTGGACAGTGCCAGACCCACTGTCTCCGGACCTTTATACCTGTTGATCCTTCTGCCTGGAATAGTCCCCTCCTCCCTGTTTTCATTGCTCAGGTCTCAGCTTAGACACCTCCCCCAGGAAGCCTTCCCCTGAGACTCCTCAATGAATTGCTCATGGTGTGTTCCCATAACACACTCTTCCTCCCCAAGCACACCCCTTTTCACTCTGTACTAGACTTGACCATTTAATGTCTGTCTCTCAATGGATGGGTTGAACCCTGCAGGCAGAACATGGGCTCACAATTGTATCTCTGGACTATCATGGTGCCTGGCACATGAGAAGCTCTCTGCAAAATGAGCTGTCAGATAAGAGAGGTTATCAAGGAGGTGGAAACACTGCTCCCCGGCCTGTGGCACTGCAAATCTGCTGGTGAAGAGGGCTCCTCCGATCTCCAAGGCTCTTTTCTGTTTGGAATGCCAGCCACTGCCACCAGCCACCCAACACAGCAGATGTTTTTTGTGCCCCATTATTTAAAAATGTACCCAGAATTTGTCTCAAGCAGGTATGGTAAAACACACAGACATAAAAGCAATTGCCATGAAATAAGTTTTTCTTATACTCACAGTCCCCTAGAAACAGGAGGTACAGCATGCCACACAGGAACACACAGGGCCGCAGGAGCTGAGATGGGCAGGCAAAGAGAGAGAGAGCAAATGCAGCGGCAGCCTTTACTGTGGTTTTCGCAGTACCGAATGAGCAAAGAAGTTAAGAAAACTGAAACTGAATTATTTCAGCGGGTCTGGGCTACAGGTGATAGGGCAGAGGACAGACAGAAACCTAATAAAATAAGGTGGGTGATATAGACTCAAAATCGGTTGGTTTGCACATGAAAGGTGTGCTCAGAGGCCAGTTGGTTTCTCTCCTTAAGAATTGGCTAACCCTGAGAGGGGCAGCCCTTCCCTGAGTCCACAAGGCACCAGACACCAGAGCATCAAAAAAACAGAAAATAAGAGAATATAGTGAACACACCCATGTTATGTCCCCATAGCTGGACTCCGGCTGCCCCCACAGCAGGCAATCTTCCTGCACACTGCCAGTCCCAAGGCCCTGATCACTCCCACTTTCTTGCCCACTGTGCCAGGAAGCTCAGGGTGACACCTCTAGTGACAGCCCTCAACCAATAGGGGACAAAAGTCCGTCCCCTTTTGGTGGGGGGGTACTCTAACCTGCATCGTGAGAGGCATTTAATGTGGTTGCAACTAAGTGTGTTCAGTAGGACTGAGCCTCTTTTCTATAAAACAAGTGATGCCTTGCCACCCCCTAAGATACCTTTATCTGATGATTTTTCTCAAGTGAGATCCTACATTTCTGTCCCAATTAGATATGTTTTTAATTTGGTCTCTACTGCTATTTTTTAAAACACACAGGTACTACATGCCTAGATAGGCACTGTTAAAAACCCACATAATACCAAAAAAGTCACAGCAAAATGGAACATCTCCTTCCTCTCCCCAGAGGGAGCCACAGTTAGCAATTAGGGCGTGCATACTTTCAGGCTGTGGCTTTTCTTTGCATTATAACATATGCATACGTCACAGAGTATTCATTTCCTGTAGCTGCCATAACAGATTACCACTGACTTGCTGGCTTAAAACAGCGTAAATATATTCTCTTACAGTTCTGGAGGCCACAAGTTCCACATCAGTTTCACTGGGTCAGAATCAAGGTGTCAGCAGGGCCGGGCTACCCCCAAAGGCTCCATGGAGAACCTGCTCCTTGCCTCTTGCAGCTTTTGGTGGCTGTCGGCATTCCTTGTCTTGCAGTCGCAGCAGTCCTGTCTCTGCCTCCACAGTCTCCTCTTTTCTTTGTGTCAAATTGCCCTCTGCCTCTTCCTTATATGCATATTTGTGACGGCATTTAGGGTCCACCTGGGTAATTAGGATAAGTTCCCCATCTCAAGATCCTAAATCAGATCTGCAAAGATTCTTGTTCTAAATAAGGTAACATGGGTGTAATTTTTCAGTCTACTACACGTGGTAATCATTTTCAGCATGAAGGAGATGACTATGCCATAACTGGCTTTGATTGACATAAGAGGCCCTGAAGCTTTCCCCCATCTCTCCACATAGAGGTGCTTTACCCTTTTTAACTGCTGCATAATATTTCACAGTGGAAATGTGCCATGATTTCTTTATCCATTCCTCAACAGAAGGATATTTAGACCATCTCCAGTTTTTTTACTGTGACAAACAATATTGCACTGAGCATCCAATACATGCAGTTCTTGGAAAGAATCTAAATATTTCTATAGAAGAAATGCCAAGAGAGGAAGTTGTTGGGCCCCACGTCTTCTCATTGCCCTTACCCTTTCATCATACATAAATTACTATCCCCTTTAATTCTCACAACAACCTAGAGAAATAGGAATTATATAATTCCTATTTTACAGCTGAGAAAACAGAAAGGTCCAGAGCGCTAATGTGTGCCCAGGGCCACATAGCTGGCAAGAATACCAACATTTTAAATTAACACTAAAAGGGGAAATGGCCATGAACAATTTGGCTTGTTTTTTTCTTCTTTCTTCTAAGATAAAAAATGTGTTGAATTCCTAAAGTATTGGATATCACTAGGGAAAAATAAATCATCTTTTAAATATGTTTCAAGAAGACAGGCTGTTTTGATCCTTCTCTCAGCCTCACTTGGCTTCAGAAAACCCGGGGAAAGTTGGCAGTTGTGCAGTTGGGCAGACAGAAAGGTTCAAAATGGCCATGAGCAGATGTCCTAGGCAGGGCCACCCAAGGAAAGCTTTGGGAAAAGAAAAGCAGCTTTGATCAGACTGAAAAAAACATCATCTGAAGAGGAATATTCAGCTGAATAATAAAGAGTACATTAGAGAAAGCAAGAAAGGGGAATGAAGCACACTCTGCTAGAAAGTTTGCCAGTGAGATTCAAAGTGACCCTGTCACTGCAGACATGCTGGGGGGCGGCCACACCCTGTCACTGCAGACATGCTGGGGGGCGGCCACACCCTGTCACTGCAGACATGCTGGGGGGCGGCCACACCCTGTCACTGCAGACATGCTGGGGGGCGGCCACACCTCTTCCCTCCATTCTAACCATCCAAGTTACACACCCTGTCTTTTCTGCCCTGCAATGATCATGGCAGGTGGGAAGGAGAAATGGAGTTACCTTCGCTGTCTGGTTCTATAGCTACCCTATTTCTCCTTCCCCATCAAGCCCCACTTCCCACCCCTTCACCAGTACTCCTCCTTAATTCCTCAGAAAAGATGCCTATAAGCCTAACAGTCCTATCCACCCACAGTTGCAGAGAAGGAGCAATGAAAACAGCAGCAGGTAGCCAGAGAAATAGACACACAGGTTTCGGGGAACACATCTCTGAGTTCTGCTTCTGCCCTTCTGAGCTGTGTTGTAATACGCAAGTCACACAACCTCTCTGCCTCTTTTTCTTAGCTATAAAATGGGGAGAATGAGATATCTTTTCCCTCCAGGAGTTGGCATAAGAAATAAATGAGTCAAAGTATATAAAAGGCCACTACATGGTTGGGAATATTTACATGAGTGGTGGGATCAGGGATATTCTGTCCCCACTTCTGGATACAGACTACCTTTCGGGAATCTGAAAATACTCCTCTTCCTGGGTATTGGCTTATTGTAAAAGTCAGAGGATAAGTGGGGATATCTGGGAGCATAACTGAAGGTAGAGGCAGAAAGAGAAGCTCTTTCCTTGTAAAACCACAAGCGTGGGCCAGGAGCAGGCCACCTGGGCAGTGAGAAAGTTCTCATTGTCTGCTGAAGGTGCTTCCAAAGATAACCAGGTTGGAACAGGAAAAAATGTCTTGGCCTTTTAAAATCACATGGGAGGATGAGGAGGGAAAGCGTGGGAGCCAGAAGGGAGGTATGTCAAGGGAGTTAAAGGGGAAGACTGAGATTCTGACAAGAGCAGGGTTGGGGCTGCCTAGCAGTTGCAGGAAGGGAAGCCAGGAGAGTTCTGCCTGAAGGAGCCCAGCCCACTGAGAAGCTGGGGAACTGTATGAGGCAGGGGACAGGAGCAACCTCCAAACTCCCTGCCATCGCCTCCACCAGGGTGAAAACTGCTCTCAACCAGGAAGTTCTAACCATCAAGGGCTGTGTCCTTAATGGCATTATTTGTCCACAATTCTTCCTACCTTGCCATAGTTGCACTGCAGATGCAGTCTACTTCCCTGCCTACTCTCTTTGGCCTTGGCCGTGTGACTTGTTTCACTACTGGGATGTGAGTGGACGTAACATATACCATGTCCTTTTGAAGGCTTTAAATGTGCTGTGTGGTTTGGTTTGCCTCCTTGCAATTATGTCCTCACCATGAGAAGAGCTTGCCCCAGGTAAAGCACCTGGAGCAAACCTGAACTCAACCTCCAGCCTAGAGCCAACCCAGCCATGCCAACTCCTGTAACCAAGATACAGGCATATGTTTGGGTTAGCTGTTGAGACTGTGAGGCTGTTGGCTATGCAGCATTATTACAGCAAACCCCAACTAATACACAGCTTTTGGTGGCATCTCTTGGGCTCAATGTGTGCCCTTGGTCAGATAACAGGAAGGCAGGTTAGCAATGAAGCCTAGCACCCCTCCCTCAGTTAAAAAGAGTGTGGTACTGTCTCTACAATAGGGCTTAGGCTGTAATGAGGATGATGGTGTAACCCAGTCACGGATGTATCTCTTGAACCAGTTTCTCCAGTAAGATGGGATGGAGGGAGCCTTCTGTCAAATGGAGGCCTTTTAGGAATAACTTTTCTGAAAAGGTTTAATACAAATGAACTTTGCACAGAGACAGCTTGAGAAACAGGGACACTTGGAGGAAAGGACTGTGTGCTTACAGTTTACAGATTGTACTGTAATATGCAGCAGGAGATTTTCCTCTTTTCTATAAGGAAAGGAATGCTCTTCTTTGAGGAAATCAAGTCAAGATCTTTCCTGATAGTCTGGCACTACAGCTTTACCCTCCCTCAGAGACTGCCTCTACACCCTGCACCACTCTACACCCTGACACCCCCACTGCTTACAAATATGACTGCAGTCGGCTGTTGCCCAGGGACTCACTGGCAGAGACAGAGGCTAAGTCATCTTTCCTCAACTACCAGACATCAAAAAAGGATGACAAAATCTGCTCCTCCACCAAACTGCCACAGACGATAGGATAACGTGCTGGGCAGGAAGATGGAGAGAAGACAGAGGTCATATGTTCTTCTCCCTATCCAGACACAAAATCACAAAGCACTTGTAAAGTGTTTTCTTGAGAGTTTTTCTGGGTGGGAGAAGGGGTAGAGGGAAGTCATATGATGGGTGTGTGTGTGTGTGTGTGTGTGTGTGTGTGTGATAAAAACTGAACTTGGGTCTGACTCTGGAGTCATCACTAAAGGTGTGACAACCCCTTAGTTTCTGTTCCCCAACTTTGCCCCCTTCTAAACAGCCACCCTGCCTGATTCATCACTTCTTAGACTCTGAGTGAAGCTGGCAAAGATTTGGGAATTTGGACTTTCTGTTCCGTTTCTTAAACTGCAGTTTGTCATAACAAAACTATGGCTGGAGTGAAAGGGAATACACGAGCAGACTGTCAGAGGGTTAGATTAAAACCACATGTCCCAGTCCTGGGAGGAACCCAGCGGGCAACCCTGCTTTCCTTGATTTCCCAAAGTCAGACCCCAGGCAGGGAGAGCTGAACTGGCCTCTGGGCAAAGGCAACAGGCACAGCTTCCCTCTCCGGTCAGATCTGCTGGGTTCTGGGAGGCTGGGCTGTTTGCTCCACTGTGGGTGGAATAACAGGCAGCCTGTCTCCAAGGCTACCACCAGGCCAGGCTCCCTTGCTCAGCTCCATCCGAGGGCTTTGATTTTTCCTTCCACATCAGCAACTTAAAGACAAGAGGAGACTTTTGCCCCTGTAATTTCTGGCTCAGCCAATTCCAGGAAAAAGAAAGAAAACCAAAGGAATGATAAATAACATTGATTCAGCATTTGCTGCGTGCCTGAGACTGCTTGAAAACCTTACTTCTAATTTAATGCTCACTCCCAACTTATGAGATATGTACAACTGTTACCATCCTTATTTTACAGTGAGGAAAATCATGCATAAAGAATCAGAGAGGGTGGATCACGAGGTCAAGAGATTGAGACCATTGTGGTCAACATGGTGAAACCCCGTCTCTACTAAAAATACAAAAAATTAGCTGGGCATGGTGGCACATGCCTGTAATCTCAGCTACTCAGGAGGCTGAGGCAGGAGAATTGCTTGAACCAAGGAGGCGGAGGTTGCAGTGAGCCGAGATCGCGCCATTGCTCTCCAGCCTGGGTAACAAGAGCGAAACTCCGTCTCAAAAAAAAGAATCAGAGAGGCCCAAGGCTCACACTGCTGATAAGGGCAGCACCTGGGCATGAACCCAGGCAGTCTGGCTTCAGAGCTAGCTGACCTAGTTGCTGTGCCACCCTAGGAAGAAGCTGCCACCTAAAGCCCCTGCTCCAGCCCTGATTCCAACAGACTACACTAGGTCTTAGGGGTGGGCCCTGTCTCAAAGGAGGCTTATCTGTTCAGGACTGATCAGTCCATCCATAAAGTGAGGCTTGAATGAGGTCAAAGGCAGGTTGCAACCTTTTTGTATTAGGACAAATTGAGGAAAAATAAAAATGTTTTTAGGCTGAATGTTTTTCATTCAAAATGAAAACAGCTTTGCTATGTCTCTTGTCCTCTTTTATTCTTTATTTGAGAAATAGAGGAATATCAATGAGAAAATGCCACCATTTGATACACTCCAAACTGGGCATATTTGAGAGGCAGCATCAGAGGCAGCTTTCTAATAATCCGTGACCTCAAATTAGTCTAGGGCTTGATATCGAAACCAGGCAGGTTCTGTGCCTCCTGCTCATTCCGGAACCAGATGGTGCCCCAGTTCCATGTCGAGAATTCTCCAGACTATCGGCTAGGAAATTGAAAACATCTAATTTATGAGGGGACATAGCAGATCCCAATAAAAATGACCACTTACTGAGCACATGCCATGTGCCAGGAGCTCTCAAAACCCTACAACAAATGTGCTAATATGATAACGTGACGATGGCAGAAATTCAGATTAGGGGCAGGCAAGATTTTAGTTTTTCCAGTAGCCCATGTACTTTTCACTTCACACACAATGATGAGGGAAGAATCCAGAGTCTTGAGATAAAGATGTGAGTATAGGGAGGTGCTAAGCATGAGGAAGAAACCTGGGATTTTGCTGCAATTTTTGCTGTCTCGTTCAACAATTTCTTGTAACTTCACACAGCCCTTCCAAGTGACTAAATACAGCCAGTTTCTGTGACCTCAGAAAGCCCTTCCTGTGACTTCACACAGCCCTTCCTTTGACATCACACAGCCTCTTCCTGTGACTTCACATGGCCACCTCCTGTGGCTTCACACTGCCCCTCCGTGGCTTCACACTGTCTCTACCTGTGACCTCACATTGCCCCTTCCTGTGGCCTCACACAGCCTCTTCCTGTGGCTTCACACAGCCCCTTTCTGTGACTTCACACTTTTCCTCCCTGTGACTTCACACAGCCCTGCTCCTTCCTGTGACTTCCCACTGCCCCTTCCTGTGGCCTCACATGGTCTCTTCCTGTGCCTTCACAGCCTTTCTGTGACTTCCCACTGCCCTTTCCTGTGGCCTCACATGGCCCCTTCCAGTGTCTTCACACTGCCCCTTTCTGACTTCACACTGCCCCTTCCTGTAAATTCACACTGCCCCATCCTGTGACTTCACACCATTTCTTCCTGGGACTTCACACTGCTCCTTCTTGTGGCTTCACACTGCCCCTTCCTGTGGCTTCACAAAGCCCCTTCCTTTGTTCTCACACAGACCCTCCCTTCCTGTGGCTTCACACTGCACCTCCCTATGTCTTCACACTGTTCCTTCCTGTGACATCACACTGCCCCTTTCTGTGACTTCACAGCCTCTTCCTGTGACTTCCCACTGCCCCTTCCTGTGACTTCACACAGCCGCTTCCTATGACTTCACACCATCCTTTCCTGAGACTTCACACAGCCTCTTCCTGTGACTTCACAGTACCCCTCCCTTTGATTTCCTGGAGCCTCACACAGCCCCTGCCTGTGACCTCACAAGGCCTCCTCCTGTGACCTCACACTGCCCCTTCCTGTGGCTTCACACTACCTCTTCCTGTGGCCTCCTACTACCTCTTCCTGTTATATCCCACTGCCCCTTCCCATGGCTTCACACTGCCTCTTCCTGTAAACTCACACTGCCACTTCCTGTGACCTCACACAGCCCTTTTCTGTGACCTCACACAGCCCCTTCATATGACTTCATATAGCCCCATCCAATAGCTTCAGACAGCTCCTTCCCGGGACTTCATACTGCCCCTTCCTATGACTTCCACTGCCCCTTACTGTGGCCTCACATTCCTCTCCCTGTGATGTCACACCGACCTTTCCTGTGACTTCCTACTGCCCATTCCTGAGCCTCACACTGACCCTAACTGACTTCCCACAGCCCCGCCCTGTGGCTTCAAACAGAACCCTACCTGTGACTTCACACTGCCCTTCCTATGACTTCACACTGCCCCTTCCTATGACTTCACATTTCCCCCTCCTATGAGTTTACACTGCCACTTCCTATGACTTCACACAGTCACTTTCTGTGACTTCACACTGTCCCTTCCTATGACTTCACACTGCCCCTTCCTCTGGCTTCACACAGAACCCTACCTGTGGCTTCACACTGCCCTTTCTATGACTTCACACTTCCCCTCCTATGACTTCACACTGCCACTTCCTGTGACTTCACATAGTCACTTCCTGTGACTTCACACTGTCCATTACTATGACTTTCCACAGCCCCTTTCTGCAACCTCACATTGCCACTTCTGGTGACCTCATACAGCCCCTTCCAGTGGCACCACACAGCCCCTCATTGTGACTTCCCACTGTCCCATACTGCAGCTTCAAGCAGCCCCTTCCTATGACTTCCCAATGCCCCTTCCTCTGGCTCCACAATGCCCCTCCTTTGGCCTCACATTGCCCACCCTGTGGCTTCATACTGCCTCTTCCTGTGATGTCACACTACCCCTTCTTTGACTTCACATGGTTTCTTCTTGTGGCTTCACACTGGCCCTTCCTGTGACTTCAAAAAGCTCCTCCTGTTACTTCACATCACCCCTTCCTATGACTTCCCTCTGCCCCTCCCTGTGACTTCCCATTGACTGTTCCTGTGATTTCCCATATCCCTTCCTGTGGTATCATACACCCCCATCCTGTGACTCTACACAGTCCCTTCATATGGCTCCACACTGCTTCTTCCCACGGCCTCACAAAGCCCTTTTCTGTCACATCACATAACCTCTTCCTGTGACCTCACTGCCCCTTCCTGTGACTTCACACTGCCCCTTTCTGTGGCTTCACACAGCCACTTTCCTGTGACTTCACACTGCCCCTTCCTGTGGCTTCCCTCTTCCCTTCCTGTGACTTCACATTGCCCCTTCCTGTGGCTTTGCATGGCTGTTACCTGTGGCTTCACACAGTCCCTTCCTGTGGCCTCACACTGCCCCTCCCTGTGACTTCACACAGTCCCTTCCTGTGGCTTCACACTGCCTCTTCCTATGATGTCATACTATCCCTTCTGTGGCTTCACACTGCCCCTTCTTATGACTTTACACTTTCCCTTCTGATGGCTTCACACTTCCCCTTCTGGTGACTTCATACTGTCCCTTTCTATGACTCCCCACTGCTCCTTCCCACATTGCCCCTCCCTGTGACATTGCACTGCCATGATCTGTGACCTCACAGAGCCCGTTACTGGGACTTCCCACAGCCACTTTCTGTGCTTTACACTGCCTCTTCCATTGACATCCCCCTGCCCCTTCCTGCGGCTTCTCATGCCTTTTCCTGTGGCCTCACAAAGCCTCTTCCTGTGGCTTCACACTGCTCTTTCCTGTAACTTCACACAGCCCCTTCCTGTGACTCCCCATGGCCCCTAACTGTGGCAACACACCACCCCTTTCTGTGGCATCACGCGATCCCTTTCTGTGACTTCAAAAAGCCCCTTCCTGTGACCTCACACTGCCCCTTCCTGTGACTTCACACTGCCCCTCATGTAGCCTCACACTGCCCCTTCCTATGACCTCACGCTGCCCCTCCCTGTGACCTCACGCTGCCCCTTCCTATGGCCTCATGCTGCCCCTTCCTGTGACCTCATGCTGCCCCTTCCTGTGACCTCACACTGCCCCTTCCTGTGGCCTCACACTGCCCCTTCCTGTGACCTCACACTGCCCCTTCCTGTGGCCTCACACTGCCCCTTCCTGTGGCCTCACACAGTCCCTTCCTGTGACTTCACACTGCCCCTTCCTGTAGCCTCATGCTGCCCCTTCCTGTGACTTCACACTGCCCCTTCCTGTGACTTCACACAATTTCTTCTTATGACAATACCCTTGCTGTTGTTTCACATTACTCCTTCCTGTGACTTCACATTGTCCCTTTCTGTGACTTCACACAGCCATTTCCCATGGCTTCACACCACCTTGACTAGCTGCAGTTCAGTGTGTGCTAAATCCTAGAAGCCAGCCCTGCCTTGTTAATGGCAGCCCACATAGTGGGTTCTTACATACAGAAAAAGGTTCTTATTTGTAGTAAAAGTCTCTTATGAACTCCTCCTAACCATTTCTTAATCTGCCTAAGCAAATGGCCTCTAGGCACATTTCAAGAAAACTGTTTTGAACAGTTAAAAGCACTGTAGATATCTGACCTTAATTGATTTGTTGGGGGGTGGGGAGGGGGGAATTGGGAAAGGTGGGAGGCTAAAGGTCCATGGCAGGGTATAGTTTGAAATTCCCCTGAGGCTCAGATATGAATATCATTTACTCCAAGCAAATATGGTAGGAGGAGCCAGCCATGTGTCCATGGCTGTCTGCCCAGGTTTGACTGCGTAGCTTCCATAGCATAACCTCAGGGATATTGTAATCTTATTATATGATAGAAACTTCCTTGGTGAACAAATGTCAATATGTAGTGCTGGGGAAGGAATGAAAACCAGAAAAGTCTTAGAAAATGATGTTTCTCAGTTGGGATGGGTGTGGGGAGGGGATGGTACACAGGGAGACAAGAGCCAGAAAATAACAGCTTTTAAAGCAATAAAGAAAGGAATGTCAAACTTAGAGATGGAAGAAATCTATAACCCAAATGAATTCTCCACCCTCATGAAATAGGAAAAGTAATTCAAAAAATCGTTTCAGCAAAGGCTTCAGCCAAGGTCAAAATTATTTTTCAAGAATAGTGATAGAAACTGAAAATCTAGCTCTTGCAGGCCATTTACTGCATTTCATGGGAGAAGATAAAATGAAGTAATGGTGTTTCTCAAATTTGGGGATTTGAGAAAGCCTCAAGAGGCAGGCTTTCTTGAAAAGCCTTGAAAGCATTAGGGTTGTACTGAAGAGTATAGCCTAGCAGGAAGAAGGCTCTGGCTGGGTAAAATCTGAGTATGCGCTCACCTTTTCAGACTCCCACCTTCACCAGAGGGGTTTCTGTTATTGTAGGATTGAGTCGCTGTCTATAACTGCCTGGAACCCAACATGTGACTGGCAGACACCAGGGAAAGAAGGATCCTGGGAATGGCGTGTGGTGTTAGGCACTTTGGAGACCCTCAGGGCACCAGTGTGGGGATCCAGGGCACCCTGGGGCAGGAGGCAGCTTCCTCCAAAGCGACAGTGCAGGGCTGAGGTTGCTCCCCAAATTGTGTTGCATTACAATTTTATTATTTCATTCGTTATTCCTCTAATACCAAGCACTTAAGCAGGAAATAACGACACCAGTGTGAAGAAGGCTTGGCCGCTGCCCTCCGGCGACTCACTGTCTCAAGCAAAGGGGTATTCATATAATCATTTCCCCCATACCAGTTCTGGCATATCTAGCCTTGCCGACATTCAGGCCACTTATCTTTCCAAGCTTGTGGGACGGGGCTGGTGAAGCATGAAAAGCTGCACAGCAGCACTGGGTGCCACCACCTGAGGACTCCACCAACGTCTGATGACACCACAGGTTTGTCATGTTTTTCACTGTTATGGCTAGAAGGATGCTGCCTCCAGATACTCTCACAATGACTCCAGCAGGTAGGAAGGAAATCTCATCATACTGTTTTGTGGCTGAGGAACTCGAAAAAGAGTCCTCGAACTTTGCTCAAGGTGACACACCATCTAAGTTGAAGAGCTGGGATTCGAACTCCGCCCTCCAGCTGGCAGAGACCAAGCCCTTCCCAGCACACAGGAGCCAGTTCTGGCCCTGGGGACTTGAGGGCACATGGGAAAAGGATTAACTCAGGCTATCAGGGGTTTGTCCAGAAGCATTTTCAATGCTCCCAGGTAACCTGGGGGAAGCAGTGCTACCAGAAGGATTTTAAAGACCTGAGAAATAGCTGGATCTGTCTCTTCATTACATGGACTGGAGTTCCCTGACACCAGCTGAGACACAGGAGGTAATGAATTGTGTTATCCTTCAACAAATCCACTCACTTCAGGAAGGCAGTATCTGGAAGGATACACTGAAGGAAACACAGGAGCTGGACTCTCTAGGTCCAAATCCCAGCTTTGCCACTAATGAGCATGTAACTTCACATCAGTGTTTCCATCTAAAAAATAGGTATGAAAATGGTCCCCCTCTCAAAGAGTTGCTGTGAGGATTCAACACGTTGTAATATATATATAAAGTGCTGAGAACAGAACCTTGCATATATTTTTATAGTTATTACTTAGCATTATCATTAAACCTCATGATTATTAAATCTCCAAGGTACTTGGAAACTCCAGCACCTCCTTTAAGTTGCTGGCCCATGCCGCACTCTCTCCACCTGTGGATGGTCTAGTAACAGGTCACAGGACTCTGAACGCTGGAGGAAAGCATGTGAAGAGGTTTCAGGGACAGATGCCAAAGGTGCCTCCTCAAAACCACCAGTTGCTCAAGTGACCAAATGAGTGACCTCTGACTCCCTGCTCTGCTGCTGGGAGTGCAAGTCAAGTGCAATTGACTTCTACAGCGTGGCTGCTCTGTATATACCTGTAGAGCCCTGGCAAGGGTAAAAGCACTCCTGGGCAGATGCCTGGCAGCAGGAGGGCAGGACTCAGCCATAAAATACCTAGAAGATTGGCTCTTAAGAAGGTTAAAACAAAGCTGTACATGATATCTGAGATGGAAACGTTAAATCTTTCCTTTTTCCTTCAGTGAGTCCTCCCCATTCCTATCAGATGGGGACTCTGTACACTGAATGGGAAATAAAGAGGCCGTGCAGAGGAGATACTCATAAGATGTTTCCTGACAACCCTGGGCGTAGAGCTTCTTCCAGCCAGGTGACCTCTGGCTTCAGAGGACTAGGGAGGAAACAGGCAGCCACGTCTAAGGATACATGTGGCAACATGGAGGTGTGGAGGTCCTCCCTCAGGAAACTCCAGAACACCGACTATAGCCAGCATTGTTGAGCACCTCCTGTGTCAGGCCCTGTGCCAGGTATCTGACATGTCAGTTCCTCTACTCCCTGTGACCTCCCTGGACAGGAGGTATTGTCCCTCACATTGGGAATCCGAGGAAACTGAGGCACAGAAAGCTTATGTCAGTCTCTTACAGCCTCATAGCTAAGTGGCAGAGTTAGATTCAAACCCAGGTCTTGCTAATTCCATCAGTTTATTAGCCAGAGTTTTGTTCCTCCTATTATAGAAGCCTCAAAGAATACAAGTTGCTTCTCTACCTGCCTCTCTTCTCCAAGCAAGCAAGCAAACAAGCGAACCAGGAGAGCTGGAAGCCAACCTCTTCCTTCCCCAGGAGAGAATAAAAAGGTCTTTGCTTTAAAAGCCAACCAAGGCTCCTAGAGGAAAATTGAACTGGGCTGTCTGACTGATATCAAGTCATCTGGGTGAGGACAGGCTTGGAGCCAGACAATTTGATTTAGAAAAATAATGCTGCTGTTCAGCCAAAAATGGTAGATTAAGCACCTGCTATTCTCTTTCTTTCCTCCTGAAACCTCATGAAAGTAACAGTAAAATGTTCTTATTTTTAAAGAACAAACCCCTAAGGACAAAGAGAACAGGAAAGCAGTCAACCATAAAAGCAAAATTCAGGAAGCTGGAAAGCAGGTGAATGAGCAGCAATGGCCTTGGCGGATTCATGAAAGCTGAATCCTAAACTAGAAGGCAGAAGGTCAAAACTCAACATGATTTATGCCAAGGGAGCCCCAACAGATCAAGGACTGGCGCTGCCGGGTGCCTCCACAGGAGGCAGTAAAGATGAATAAAAAACAAAAGGACTCGCTGAAAGTCGACTTAAGAAGAAGCTAGACACCCAGGTCTCTTATTCCATCTGTGAAGAAGGCACCTGCCCCTCCTGCACCCAGCAGAAGACTGAGGGTTTGTTCTATGGAGAGAGAAAGCCAGGGAATCTACATTCTGGGAGACACTTGGCACCATTGAGGGCAGGGGGACTATACTGAAAACATGAGTTTTAAGAGAACATTTGCATGCTGAATATTGAAATATTGAAAGGGCCCCCCAAGTAACCAACACAATGGCTAAGAAGTGAGACCTTAAGTGGTATGGAATTCAGTTATTTGCAATTGCCCCACACACTTGCATTTTGATGAGATCACCCCCTAACAACAGCATAATCTGTTTCCACAGTCATGGAGACAGTTTGTTGCTGCAGCCATTAAGAACAAAAGCTTTGTAAATTCTGGATATCAGCCCTTTGTCAGATGGGTAAACTGCAAAAATTTTTTCCCATTCTGTTTGTTGTCTGCACACGTACCCCAAAACTTAAAATGCAATAAAAAAAATTAAAAAGAACAAAAGCTTCCACAGCAATGGCTGCTTGGAGTCACCTATCCTGAGCTTCACTATCTGGCCGTGCTGTGCCTCTCACCTGCTCCCCTGTGACTACGAGATGTGTGATACTGAGGGGTGCACAACCCGGAAGTGTAAGGAAATTTATGGCGAGTGGAGCAAAGCTTTGATCATTGGGAGACTGAATGCAGTGGGTAAATTCAAGTGGTCCTGAATTCAATTTATGCAGCTTCTTGGATAGGTCCATAGGATCACACA